TTCCGCTTATCCTTTTCAGGGTCGCGGGGGGCGCTGGAGCCTATCCCAGCTGTCATAGGGCGAAAGGCGGGGTACAGTTCAAGGAAAAATCATTAAAAAGCTCAAATTACCAGAATATTCATCTCCATGATGAGTGCATGTAAACGTCTGCTCATGATGGTATAAAACAATGCATTAGTTTCTGTGCTTATTTTTAGTTCTAATCAATGAAATTACATGGATAATCCATCTGTAATTGAGTCTTTTTTTGGTAACTAGACCAGAGGGACTACATCTGTGAGTTTTGTGCTCGCGCCTTCAAGAGTTCCCACAATCTGGCCGTGCACCGCATGATACACACTGGAGAAAAGCCCCTACAGTCAGTACTTCTCTGTTCACACGTTTTGTTTTCTCAGTTTATTTTCAGCTCAGTGGTTCATTAAATTTCTTGCTTCCTGGTGTGAATAGGTGTGAGATCTGTGGCTTCACTTGTCGCCAGAAGGCATCTCTCAACTGGCACATGAAGAAGCACGATGCTGATGCTACCTATCAGTTCTCCTGCTCTATTTGTGGAAAGAAGTTTGAGAAGAAGGACTGCGTGGTGGCACACAAGGCCAAGAGCCACCCGGAGGTGCTAATTGCTGAGGCGCTGGCAGCAAATGCCGGCGCTCTCATCACAACCCCTGCCTCTCTCTTGGAGCTCCCGGGAAATCCTGCGCAAGCAGAGGTCACTGGCTTGGATGCGAACCAAGTTGGGCAAGACGGCCAGGTGGACCAGCTGGGCCAGGATGGGCAGCATGTGCCTCAGGTCTCCCAGATAGGTCATGTGACCCAGCAGGTGAGTCACCAGGTGGTTTTGCTGGGACAAGATCAGAGCCTCCACACCATGCAGGTGCCTGTGACAATTGCTCTGTCCCCTATCGACCCCCCATCACCGGCCGAGAACCAGCAGCAGACCCAGCTCCAGCTTCAGATGCCCGTCCAGTTTGTGCAGACTGCCCAGCAGCCCCAGCAGCCCCAAATCCAACAGCTGACCCTCCATTCCAACTCAGTGGTGACCCAGCATCAACCGCAGCTCCAGCCTCTTCAGTCATACACTTCCCAGCAGCAGAGCCAGGGCCAGACACAAATCCTGCAGATGACCTTCCAGCCTGTCAGCCAGTCCCAGACCCACATCCAGCAGATCCCCATTCTAGCAGCCTCTCAGCAGCTCCAGCCTCTGCAGACAGCATCCCCGAGCCCTCCTCTAATGTCCACTTCGCAAACCCAGAGCCAGGTTCCCGTCTCCACCAGTGGGGACAGCTTTATGTTGGACAATCCAGTGCTCTCTTCCTCCTCTCCCTCAGCCACCTCTCTTCAGCAGACAGAAGTGGTGGGGGAGGATGGTGTAATCTGGGAGCAGGCCGGGCAGGGGGAGGTCCTAGCTGATGGCACTGGGAGACACATGCAGCAGACCCTCATGTAAAACAAAAAGGATGCCAACAGAACGTAATCTAGAGGCAGTTTATGTTACCAGTGACCTGACATACTGTTTCACCGCGTTTGAGTTAAATGTAGGCTCACTGGTATATTATGTAATGCTCACTCATCGTCACATTTGGTAGATTTTTAGACTTCGTATCAGGGAAAGATATGCGTTTGTATGTGTATGTTGTTGCCTTTGTACCTAACAGTCCTGTAACTAGCCACTTATGAGTGTGTGTGTGTGTGTGTGTGTGTGTATATTGATGAGGTCTTGTTGCACAGCTGTTGCTATTATGCAATAACATAGCATACCTCTTAGTAATATACAGCACATCTAATGTGTAATGTGCAGCATCAACAAAGTTCCTACTGGAATAAATCTGTTTAATTTATATCATGAAACACATGAGAAAGTTATAAACTCCCTCAGTGTGTGTGTGTGTGTGTGTGTGTGTGTGTGTGTGTGTGTGTGTGTGTGTGTGT